CCCCCCCCATCCAAATCAAAACAACTAGTCAGACCGCGAGTACTTGCAGCGTCATTCGAGCGGATCATCAGCGCCTTTTACACCAACGCAACCCTAGACGGTGGACCGTGGATAAGTATACAGACACCCCCGGGCCGTATTACTTTTAACAAAGCAGCAGATTTATGTTCAGATGAGCTCTTTTTGGCTTGCGTTTTAGATTCCAGATGTAATTGGCAATCGAGCAAATGCGTTATCATATGAGTAAAGAAGAAGCCCCAGTAGCAGTCCTTTATTTACTATGAATAGTGATTATGGGCTTGAAAACCTTTTCAGAATAAAGACACACACCCACACCCGCATGCATACCATGAAAACAGAGTTGTGACAAAAGTGTATCCGATAGACGAGAGACAAAATCATCAGATGAAACAGCTCGACGAATTGCGCTGTAAGTAGGCCTGTTCAGCTAATAGTTGGGCCCTTCCAACAGCGTCTTTTTTCCACAGGGACATCTGCTTTCCTTTGGCTGCTGTCGTCAGCTCATCAGACAGGTTGAGGAAGTTAAGCTCGGTAATGCGCATGACTAAATGTCTCGTCGAATTGAGCATAATGATTACTTCAGCTTTTGCGCTGATATTGACCAAGGGAAAGTTTATTGCCTCAAAGGTGTTATGTGCGTTCGTAGTAGTAGGGCCCTAGGAAGGAAGACACAAAGGGCCATCAACTAGGATACTACTACTAGAGGTATTTCCAATGTTAAGCACGTAACATGGTCCAACGTACTTCCCTTCGCAGGCGCACCGTAACTGCGGGAAAATGAATTTTGCAAGACATCCGGTAGAAGTCACCTTCGCTGACCGTGCTCACGAAAGAGCAAAGGTCGCTGAGACCGGGGCTGTCGAACCTCATCCAAAAGATGGTTTGGCTGAACACATCATAGCGCACAGCAGTCACGACTAGGGAGAGGGCTTCTAAATGCTGTTGCACAAACCCTGTTACATCCATTCCCTGATTGTAACGCGGACACTCTTCGTAATTGTTTCCATAGAATTGAAAAAAA